ACTATGCAACTGTTCTTCTTACATTATCTTTATTTTATTTATTTATTTATTTTTTAAGATCAAGTCCCAGAAATTTCAATTCTTTTACACTGTGGCCATTTTAAACATTCTCAAAAATTCTTTCAAAAATTTTTATCCCTGTCTGGCAGTTTTGCACTTAGTTATTCTATTCTTTAGAATCTAAAAGAAAATTCTGTTAAAAATTATATTTAGAATCTAAAAGGAAATTCTTTTAAAAATTACATCTACTGTATAATCTATGTATGTGATTGGCAGATACTTCATTTGTCTGCCAGCACATTCTAAACTAATAAATCTATTATTATACACATTTTCCATTTGAGGCTGAAACCCAAACTCTGCTTCAAGCAATATGGTGAATGAACAGGTTGATCATAGATTTTTCTAGAATATCTGCAAAGTATATGTAATAATATTAAACTCATTATTATTCCAAACGACAAAGTAAAAGTTGTGGAATGACTAAAATTGATTCCAGTTTGGAGTGAAATTACTGACAACCAAAACAAATTATTTATTTATAAAGATAAAAATTTTTAAACTGCTCATGAGAATATGAAAGTTCTTTTACTTATCTTAGAGCTTTAGTGTAAATAATATTTTCTTTTCCACTTTCTATTCATGGAATAGAAAAATGTTCAGGAAAGGAAGCTGCGCTTCATTTCCTCCCTGAACATTTTTAAGTATGGTACTTGCCTTGTGATTACTCTATTCATGCTCATTTCATTAACAAAAAGAATCAAAAATGATTCTTATTTATTATATTCACATTAACTGTTTGTTTAAGTAGTCATGATGCTGAATGCTGTTACGCATATAACCTTTATTGATGGGAATGCACAAGTAACTTCATCTGAAGATGTGCAGATTTCATTTGATGGGCTAAAGATGACCTTCCAGATTTCTAAAACACGTCTCTGATTAAATTGAGTGAAAATGATCTGCGCTAGAAATGTGTAAATTCACATGCTTTAAAAGTTGATGGCTAACTTCTAAAATCAGAACGACAGGTTTACAGTAGGATATAAAAAGTGGATTATATTGTTTGTATATGTGGCTAGCAATAAGATTCCATAATCCACTTCTTTTATAGATCTTGTCTTCCTATTTATATATTCTCTAATCTCTTATCCCCTGTAAATTATTTTGCTCAATAAAGGCTATTGATTTTCATCTTTGCTACGAAATTTAAGTAAATGAAACAACATTCAGATAATAAACTTCTTAATGCACTCTTTCCTTAATAGCCATAACTTTATTTTTACTATGGCTTTCGAGATGGTTTTATTCATATGCATTATTTCTAAGATCTATTTTCACTGAGAAAACAGGAAGATAAGTTAATCCTGTATGCAGTGTAAAATAATGCAGGAAGTACTACTAAACAACAAATTTCCAAAGAGCTGCATATTTTTTTAAAATTTGAGCACACCTGCATAGTTTTTAAATTTAAGCTAATAAACAATTTTGGTTATCAAATTAATGTTCAGCATACCAAAATTAATAATAATTCATTATTTTTATTTCAGGTTATCAATTATATATTTTCAAATTTCATTTGACAGCGGCTGGGCGATAACTATAATAAATGAGTTAGATTTTTTGCTACAGCTATCATGACCATATAAGGGCATCTCACCACATAAGCCCCGTTCACAAGAGCAAATTCGACCGGTAGCGAAAACCGGTTCTTCCAACATGTCCCGTTCACATGGGACAAGCATTAACTGCCTCGCCGAATTGGAGGTAGAACTTGGTTGAATGTTCCTTACCTCTCGGGAGCAGGGCAAATGGGGAGATTTGACGTACTATACTGCGCGGTTCACTTAATTTTAGTTACTGCTCGCTGGACTGTCAGTGAAACAATCGCGCTGATAGATGTCTGGGGATGTGATAGCATCCCCCCAAAAATTAGATAGAACTGTACAAGATATGGAAATTATAGACAAATACAGACAAGGTTATCTGATGATACAGACAAAGTTATCTGTATTCCAGAAATATCGTTCAAATTAAAACTAAAGTTAAGACAAGTGCATATCGGCTTCAACGCGAAAAGGGACTCGGTACCATTTGAATGATTTTTTTAAAAAAAAATTTAAGCATTTTCGTCTACTTTTTATGAATATTATTAAATGTTTTTGTGAGACAAAATAATTTTAAGCTGAAAAAAATTTATTGCTAGTATTTTTTTTTAATTTAAATTTTTGAAGAAAAATTTTACAATTAAAATGTCTTTCTTCTCCTACAATTTTTAATGTCTCCTCCCCAGTCTTTTTATTGTATTTATTAGAGTGTTCTTAATAACTTCAAGGAATGATTTTGCAATTAATGAATTAGTCTCTGAGGGAAAAAATACACTTTTATCTAAAATCTTTAAAACAAATATGATCTCAGTTACATTTTCATTTCAAATAATTTTTTTCCTTTCAGTATTTTGCAAAACCCATCCTTGTTTCTATAAAGTATATAATTTTATATAAGCAGCAAAAATAATAAAAAATTTAGTCCATACCTGTATATGTTTTAGGACTTTAAGTAAAACGATTTATTGGAAAAAGTGCAAAAGGTTTCTCAGTTTGCATTTGCAGTTTAAAGAATACAAACTGTCTAAATAGACATTTAATCATTTCAAATCTTTAAAATTTTATTACTGAATTTCAATACACACATATGTATATAAATCAAACCTAGTGCTATTTATTCAATTGGTAAATATAAACATAAATTACAAACCTTTTTTTAAAACCTTATGTGGCCAGAAAAATTGCAAAAACTTATAAAACGCAAGCAGAGTTTTTCTTTACCTGTTTTTGTTTTGTAAAACACGTTCAAAACAATTTTAATACATTTATTAATTATAATATTGTTGCATGCGTACAGGTTTGTAATAGATTGATAATAGTTCGTAAATGATTGTCATTGCATTCAAATCCGATGATAGCTTAAATTTATTTTATCAACATAAACACTTCAAAACTTCAGTAGTTATGCTTCAAGCTAATAAGAACGTTAAACACAACGGAATGCAAAACCCATCTTAAGAGAAAGTTAACTCAGAAATATCTCCAATCTCAAGCTGAACTAACAACTGCTAACAATAACAACTTATATAGCATAAACAATGTCATAAAAATAGTGTGGTATAATGAGATTATTACTTCGAAAACCTGTTTCGAATTGATGCCCAAGAAGAACCAATAATTCCCATTCTGCTTCATTGCATATCTTTCAAAAAAGTAAAAAAAAATCATCCAATTAATTTACTTTATCATTTTTTTTTAAATGCGAAAAGTTTGTTTTATAAGCTGTGAAAATGCCGGAATTTTGTAACCGATATATTTTTAGATATGAAATTTAAAAATTAATGGGCGTCAAAAAATCTAAAAATAAGAACGATTTTCAAAAATTCTCCCAAAATATTTTTTAAAAAAATTACGCTAAAAATTTCATTTAATTTTTTTTTTCCACACTGTGTTATGGTGCAAACTATAATATTCTGAGGTTCTCAGTTTATTTGTTAATATTTGCAAAAAGTCATTTCAACTTTAAATTTTAAAAAAATCTAATCCTCTAAAAATCAAAAGCGTAACACCACATCCACAAGCAGTGTATGTACAAAGTTCTATATCTTATCGGGAAGCAGTTTAAAAATCCATTGCCATCTTTTAACCATAGTGACAAGCACCAAGAGTGAACTAAATAACAGCTTACAAAATAATAATAATAATTAAAAAGCATATATTTTTAAGGAACCATTACGAAAGTTCAGGTACCAGTTGCGAAAGTACAGATTACAAAATTAACAACATTAAACCACATTAAAAATGTGTAAACAGTATTAGAAATCCGCCAATTTGGAGACGTGATTGTTCACAGAGGCTTTAGGTGTACAGGGGAAGGAAGACGGTGGTCTTCTGAACGGGTCCTAAAGACGAAACTCTTTTATGTCTCCATTTTCTCCCCTTGCTAACGGCAGCTGTGCGAAGGAGCGTTGCATGTGAACGGGGCTATAAAGGGGACTTCTTTCCTGACCCTGGTGTGTTAAGTTTCAAACATCTTTTACATATTATGAATAATTTTAACAATAAACAACAGTTCAGTGAAAACAAAGGATTTTGAAGTGGATTTTAGCATGTTTTCAATAAGTTTCAAAATACTTATTGAAAACATGCCAAGAATAATATACAATTCTAAATGAGCATTGAATTGAAACCACATTGAACAGGTATTAAAAAATGCATAAAGGCATAGTTTAGCCAAGCGTGTGGACATAGTAAAGTTGCCAAGGGACAATATAGTGTGGGAGAGATGGGAATATTCAGTTTCTTTCAATTTCTTACAAACTCAGTACTGATACAATAAAAACGTATGCCATTTTGTGAAATTAACTTTGATTTCTGGTAAAAGAAATGTTGAGATACCAGATTTTTTCTATACTATCAAGAAAACTAAAATATTTATCAGAAAAATAATCAAATTTAAAAATAAATTCGATTTACAGTAATCATCCACTTAACAAGAATCTTTCAATAATTTATGCTGAAAATCTATGAAAAATCAATCCTCAAGAAACATCTGCATGTTATTTTTAAAAACTGCCTTTCATCTGAAAAATATTTAATGCATTAGATATTTCCAAAGAAATAGCTCGAAGATACTTTAACACATTTACTGCGACACTGGCACTTCTTTGTTATACTCCAAGTAAATTTTGTGAAAACAATATAATATGGACAAGGATGCCATGGAAAATTAATGAATGTCAATGAACATATTGCAACAATGACATTAATGATAATGATAAAAATAATAAATTGTGTAGAGGGGCAAGTTATCTCATCGCTAGTGCTCACCAAATATTTTTGGAGGACATGATACCTCATTCATAGCGATGAAAGTGTTAAATAAAAATAAAGCTACCAACATTTTTATATTCCAAACTTTGTGTACTACAAGATTAATAAAATGCAAATAAATAAATATATATATGATTTATATCCATAAATTGATATTTCACTTTTTATTATACAAGCATAAATGATACAATGATTATTACATTTAAAATAAAAGCAACATGGCTAGACTGGGACATTTTTGACTTTTTTACATAATCGTGCCAGAAGTCCTGATAACTGCAAAAGTGACTGTACACCTTGAATAATCCTTAAGTGTGTTAATCCTATTTCCTGCAAAAATAATAAATTAAAGTGCAAACAATTTTAATAAATAAATGTTTTTAATCATTGCAGTGTTAAATGCAATAAAATAGCAATTAGATACTTAGAAATTGGTTTTCCTTCAAGAATTATGTTTAAAAAAAATTAAAGCATATGAATATTAGATATTATAAAATTAAATTTAGATGATAACTTTGCATAGGATGGTAATTCAGATAAAATATCAAAATTAATACAAATATATAAAAGTGAATTAATTTGATTAGAATTCAGCCCAACTTTTTCAGATATCTTTGTAGTGGCATCCTATGAAAAGATGCTTTATGAAGAGTTTCAGAATTCAACTACGTAAAAAACTTCATGCAATGTGTAGTATAGAAAACAGGTACCATTTTGAAAATCAGTTTTTAACTTGGGGATGTACGGTGGGCTACTGTTATGCAAATAGGATTTTTCTTTGCTTTAAAAAAAATTCCAATTTGCACAGAAGCATTCTGCAATCTTTATGAAAGTTACTTTTTTTTTTTTTTGAGTTAAATACTAATCTTGGAAAAGGTATTGGCATCTTTATGCTGCAGCACAGCTGTGAAAATTTTTGGTTTCATTTACAAGGATGCAAGCACCTTTGTAATCAGATAACATTGTACAGCTGAACTGTTGCGTCAAATGTATCCTGCAAGGATCAATCACAGTATCTTTATGGCATAGTGGTCTGGGGAAAGCAGTTTCGTTACACACATGTAGACAACTGCTTTAAATCCAACGAATGCAACTCCTGTTGATCTACAGAGGTTACAAAATAACCTCAACAGCAGCACGATACATACTTGCTGGACTGACTTCCCTAGACTTAAAAGTCGAGAGACTCTCCTAGCAAGGGTGTTACACCTAGATGAAAATGCCCTACTTCGGGACCAGCAATATTTCCACACTATGAAAAGCGTAAACTAGCTTTGCTTGTACATCTGCTGGAAAATAACTAATTACAATGCATACAGAGAAAGTATGCTTCTCCCAAAGAAAACAAATTCTGCTTATTTATGGATAGCTCAAAAAGACAAAAAAGAATCAGAAACACCTTCTGCATGATGGAAAGGAAACAGACTCTTCCAAGACACAGAGAAGACTGAATATTTAGAACAGCAGCACTTAAAAGTGGCTACAAATTATGCAATATACACACTAAGAAGAAACATGATTAACCGTTTGACTTATGCCGCGAGTTTCAGTGTGTCTTTGTTGCTCTGTGGGTGTGAACGTACGTAGTCTGACTTCACGTATACTTTGTAACATGAGTGCATTCTAAAATAACTAACTGCGTTGCGGTTTTTGAGACAAATTGATGCTAAAGCAAAGTTTAAGGTTTAAAGAAATTAAACATTTAGCAGTAGTAGCAATAAAAGCTCCCTGAGATATGTTATGCAGACATTGAAGACAATAAAAGATTTTGAACTTAACCAATTTATTAACAATATAATAAAGAATAAAAACACAGAAAATAAATGTCAACAATATTAGAGTCTTAGGAAAAATATAATATAACCATCATTCATCAAATATTTTTAACCTGGTCTCCAAAACACTGGCATTCTATACAAACAAAAACGTCCTAAACAGTAATTATGCGGCCTTCAAAATTGAAGTTGGCTACACATGTAATAAGTCCATAATCAATGGTCAAGAAAAAGCACCTGAAAATTTAAATGAAGTTCTTGAAAGGCACTTAAAGCAGGCCTAACCGGCTTACGTAGTTGAACACAAGGAGTCATAGCCGTAAAACTCACATATTTTAATTCCGCCTTCATTGAAGAACATGGATGCCACCCACAGCAGTCACTCACATGGTAGCCTCTGGAACCAAAGAACTTTAATCTGGAACAATTATCTCGCAAACCGGAACCAAGGCACTTTAATCACCGAACTGCATGCATCCTTCTGAAGGGGCTGGAAACCGCTCACTCAAGTGCCGGGAAAGCAGGAACTAGAAGGGTTGGGCCATATCCATATCCTAAGCCTATCTGATTGGTATTCGGCCCTAAAAAGGGCCTTTACCAATACATAGTTATCTTACCCTGATAAGGGCATCCTAATAAAAAACTTATCCATCTAAAGATGGTACTCCTGGTGATAGCATAAGTGGTGCCATCCTTTGGCGGTTGTGGAGAAAATTCAATTCGCAATGGCATAAAAAGATGAAATGGCATAAAAGTTGAAATGGCATAATTAGAGGCTATGGCGTTTATGAAGACTTGAACTTGTAGAAGCAATTATGAAATGGCATTGAATGGCATATAGGTGCGCTGCGACGACCGTGCTTCCCTGATGGAAGTTTGTGGCTGAATGATGTGACTGGGCGGTCGTAGCCTTTTATCAGATGGGTAACATACACTGTGATTGGTCGAAAACTTTTAACACTTCAGAAATATGATAATTAGTTGTCTCAACAGTAGAGTCCATAGTTCAATACAGTCAAAAGTCGTTAATCCGGACTCGTCGGGACTTCGGCGATTCCGAATTATAGATCATCAGTTTAAATCTGGTAAGATGGCATGCAGAAATTACAAAATTAAAAATATGAAACCGTAATTTATGAAATAAAGAACAATTATGATCTAAAGAGTATCAAAATTTACAAAAAGAAAAAGCTTAATATTTATTTGTTTACTTTATTAAACATTTCTTTCAATGTAAGTTGCTTCGTTTCATGTGATAATACTTTCTCTTTAATTCTATTAAACAGACATAATTTCTTGTTTAGTTACAAAGTTCCGCTGTTCAAGTCCTATAATTGCTGTGTTGAGAATACCGACTAATTTGTCAATCGAAATGTTTTCGTTTTCAATAACCTCTGTGTCACTTTCTTCACTATCGGAAGCGAATTATAATGACGAGGAACTTGATTTAAATCATATCAAAGACGGAGTACATCGAAATGAAATACTACACTTAGTATGGAATTATAAACCAAATAAGATAAAAACATCTGCCCTGAAGATAAGGATAGTGCTGACAGATCAACTTCCAATCCGCAGCGTGAAATTGATAAACAGATTTCGGATTTCAAAACATACTTTTGCTTGGTAGATACAAATTACATATTAGTAAATATATATCGGAAATTCTATTTGACATAATCTTTCTAATCTATCATAATCTAATAATGACGTTTCTGCCCCCCCCTCTGCCGCAGAGCAGCGTGAAATTGATAAACAGATTTCGGATTTCAAAACATACTTTCGCTTTGTAGTAAATATATATCGGAAATTCTATTTGACATAATCGAAAGTTCAAGCTTACTTTTATAAAATTGCTCTAACAGTCTGCAAAAAATAATAAGCCGGATCCATTTCGAAGATTAAGGAACAACGCAATCTGCAACATTAACTGAATTAACTTTAACTGAATAACTTTAGCTTAGCGTATAACTCCGTTACACATTAAACGCGCATGCGCACAAACATATTCGCAGCCGTAAGGGTCTTACGCGCTATCGTAAACGGCTGTGCGCATGCGTGGACACGACGCATGCGCAGAAAGTTTGTAGCTTTGAGGTCCGGATTATAGATCATTCCGGATTATGGGTGTCCGAATTAATGACTTTTGACTGTAGTAAAAATAAGTAAATATAAGAATCTTGATTAAATACGTAAAATAAAATAAGTGAAATAACTGAAGTAAATATATACAACATGTACAGTTACCAATTTCTGTCGTGAAAGATATTTTGCGGTCTTTTGTACTTTTGAATTAGGGTATTATCGTAGTTATTAAGTTGTTGAATATTTTCGTTGGGATGACTATTGCAGCGGGAGAAGAAGTTATGACTATGTTTAAGTATTTCACTGTCTAATGGTTTGATGTTTAGGTCTCTATGAATTGCTGAGTTTCTTACGTACCAAGGGGCGTCTATTAAAATTATGAGTAGTTTATTTTGCATTCTTTGTAGGGATTGTCGATTATTTCTTGAGGTGGCTGCCCAGGCCGGTGCAGCGTAGAGAAGAATTGGGCGGATAGCCTGCAGATAGATGATGCGTTTGGTGTTAAGATTTAGCGTTGAGTTTCTTCCGATTAAGGCATAAATAGCCATAAATGCCTGATAGGCTTTGTTCCGAATATTGATAATATGATTACGAAAAGTTAGGCGGTAGTCGATGTAAACTCCAAGGTATTTGATAATATTGGTTCTCGGGATATTTTGTCCTTCAATTTGGATATTTCCTATGTCTTTTCTGATGACTGTTCTTCTGAAATAAATGAGGGCTGATTTGGAGGTATTAATTTTGATTTTCCAGGCTCTGAAGTATTTCTCAAAAACTTTGCCTATTGTGGGTAGCAGAGAAATAGGTCTAACTTGAGGGTTGAGCTGGGTTTTTACCGGGTTTCTTAAGTACAAAAATGATGGCATGTTTCCATGCATCAGGAAAGTAATTTTTTCTCAGGCAGGCGTTAAATATATTGGTAATTAGAACTATTGTTTTGGATGGAAGGTTTTTTCAGTGCTTTGTTTGAAATTTGGTCATATCCAGTGGCTTTCTTGATATTGAGGCGCCTAATAATGGTTTGAACTTCTCTAGGACTGGTAGGAGGGTTGAAGTTTCTAGAGTTTTCTTGAATAAAGTTGTTGACATGATTGGAGATATTGTAGTCATTGGGACAAGGGTAGAGATTGTTGGAAAACTGTTCTTCATAATTATTTGCAAAAATTTCATCTATTTCTTCAGGTTTGTTGATTACTGCGTTATTAATTTTGATGGGTCCAATGCTATTGTTGGTGTGTTTTAGAGCTTTTGCGATGCGCCAGACTGGGTGATCGTCGTGGGAAAGGCTTTGCACAAAGCTTTTACCAGGCCTGGTCAGTGTATTCTCTGATGATTTTCTTTAAATTCTTTATGGCATCTATTGAAATCTCTTCTATCATTAGGGTGTTGGGTGCATTGTGCTATTTTCCTAAGTCTGTTCTTTTCTCTGATTTTTTGCCTGATATGGAGAGGAAGGGTAATGGAGTCATC